TTCTGCTAGGGTATGTTACATTCGTTTTCGTGAAAAACGGGGGGTGACCGTGGGGGGTGGAGGGTGGGGGTGGGGGGTGATTGAGATGATACAAAATGGAAGAAAATGAACATTATGCAATATGTCAATTTCTATTTTATGGCAAATTATCTTAAGATTATTGCAGTCAATTGCTCTAAAATTCAGTGAAAAATATATTGCGCAAATAATGCAAGAATGCGAATGAAAATCGTGCCCTATGCGTTGACAAATACCAATTAATCAAATCCACGAGCATCATAAATTACAATTAAAAAAAGGGCATCTTTTCATTACGATAACGCTTTTAGGGGTTCAATACGAATTAATCAAATCCACGACCAAATGTCGTATCATAAATTACAATTGAAAAAGTCGACATCTTTTCAATTTCGAAAATGCTTTTTAGGGTTTCAACACTAATTAATCAAATCCACGACCAACGCCGCATCATAAATTAAAATTTAAAAAAGCGGCATCTTTTCGATCTCGATAACGCTTTTAGGGTTTCAACACGAATTAATCAAATCCACGGCCAATGCCGCATCGTAAATTACAATTAAGAAAAATCCGGCATCTTTTTCAATTTCGATAACGCTTTTAGGGTTTCAAGAAATTCCGAATTACGGAAACATTGATTTTTTAATAAAAAAAACCCGCCGCCCTCGATAAAACAAAACGAAACGGCGTTAAATCTAGATCTTATCGAAAATCGAAAGAAACCCACATGAAAAATTACCCTCTAATGCCAAATCTATTGACAAAAAAACAACTTGCACAACACAATTAAGCACAAAAACTTGACATGCATCAATTCAAACTTGCACATATAACAAAATCAAGAACTCTAATGGATCCAAACACCAAAAAAATCACAAAAATAAATAAATAAATAAATTCTCACTTCTTTGTCAGATTTGAGTCTTTTAGACTTTGCAGAAGCACCCATGTTTATGCTTTCTAATTGCATTTTAGTCCTCTTCCTCTTCTTCCTTTCATGAACACCAAAAAAAAAAAAAAAAAAAAACCTCGGATGAAGAAGTTGTGGGGTCTTCAGGACAAAAATCAGAATCAGAATCAGAAGTACAGTACTGAGTCTCATGTAATTTTCCTTTGAGTTTTTCTTCGTCGTTGGTTTTCATTATAGTACTTGTTGTTCTTGTTTCTTCTATTTCCTTCGCTATCGTTAACAAAAGTTTTTTTACTGAGATTACCTTGCGCATACATTTTTCTTTTTTTTTATTAATATGTGGTTTTAGAGAGAGAAAGAAGAGAGAGAGAAAAAGGCAGCTAGATTATTACACAAAGACAGCCAAACGCGGGGCCGCAGAGAGAGTTTTACAGAGGAAATATAGCGTTGCTCTAAAAGTTTTTTACTGCGAAATATTATATTATGGGGTTGCCACCCCCCTATTTAAATACAATATGTCCGAGAAAATATTTTTTTTTATGTGCCCTCGGGTTTCTGTTTTATTGTGAAATGGTATTCGTAGTTTTGTATCATTTCATTTGGAACCCTTTATTTTATGTGACGTGGCTCTTTTTGTATTAAGTATTTTTTTTTAGTAATTATAAAGTTTAAATATGATTTTCTGAATTTGCTTGTTACTTTTAGGGTTGTGTTATTGTAATTCATTATTTTGTGAGATCTTTTGTCTTTAATTTTGATAATTGGTTCGTATTTTCGTAATTCTTGTGTTACGATATTTGTAATTTATTTTTTCCTAGATATGTTGATATATTTAAAATAAAGCCTAGATGGTAGACGAAAGTTGGTCTCCGATGATTATTTTTAGTGAAAGTGGAGGCGAAATGAGAATATGCTAAACTTCGTTACGTATCAGAAAATAGTGGAAATTTGATAGCTCAGGACGCTGCTTTTTCGCGTGCTTTAGGTACATCGAGATAAACAATTATTTAATGGCGGTGAGTGCGGAAGGTGAATTAAAGTGAATAGTCCTGAAATAACGTGAGACCTGTTGACTCGCCGAATGTAATAAATGCGACGATATTATATATTTTTTTGAAATTCAAATTGAAAATGTGGAAACTATATTTTTTCCATCTTGCAAACAAATGTTGTACATAATATTATTCTTGTAATTTTTCTTTTTTCTATTACTTTTGAAGAAAATGTGTGACGTTTGTATCGGTCGATAATGAAAGTCAATATTATAGTTTTTATTTTCATGTATTTAAATAATTCTTGTGTTACGATATTTGTAATTTTTTTTCTTTAGATATGTTGATATAGTTAAAATAAAGCCTAGATGGTAGACGAAAGTTGGTCTCCAAGGATTATTATTGGTGAAAGTGGGGCGAAATGAGAATATGTTAGACTTCATTACGTATTATAAAATAGTTATAATTTGACAGCTCATGACGATGCTTTTTCGCGTGCTTTAGGTACATCGAGATAAACAATTATTTAATGGCGTTAGGTGAGTGACGGAAGGTGAATTAAAGTGAATAGTCCTGAAATAACGTGAGAGCCGTTGACTCGTCGAATGTAATAAATGCGACGATATTATATATTTTTTGAAATTCAAATTGAAAATGTGGAAACTATATTTTTCCATCTTGCTAACAAAGGTTGTAAATAATATTATTCTTGTAATTTTTTTTTCTATTACTTTTGAAAAAAACGTGTGACGTTTGTATCGGTCGATAATGAAAGTCAATATTATAGTTTTTATTTTCATGTATTTAAATAATTATTTTCTTCCATCCGCAACCCTGGGGTAACCGAAGGTCATTTTTGTAATTATTTTTTCTATTGTTTTTTAAAAATCATATTAGAATAGGTCATATAATAAAGTTTGAATTTTGATCATCCACATTAAATACAATGGTTGAATCATATACTCGGTCCAATATATATACAGAGTTCATATGTTTATAACATTAAAAATTTGAATAATTGCAATATTGGTGTTTATATATGCTTCCATTTGATGCTATCATGAGATCCTGTGTTCTAAATTCAATAATAAAATGGTGTTTCTACCATGAGATCCTGTGTTCTAAATTTATATGAGATATCTCTTCAAATTGTGACACGTGTCCTAGCAAAAAAATCTATTTTTTCCTCATTTATGTATTGTTCTGAAAACATAAAAGAACACTTACCATTAAGACACAACACATAATTGACAATAAACTAACAATACGGATACATATCACAAAACTACAATTTATAATGGTTATAAAACTTATATAAATAATGTTAAATAAATTATTAATTCTCATATAATTATCATTATATATTAATAATATCCCATACTAACAAATCTTTTTATAATATATTTTAAAAATCTAAGGAAATGTTGATCAACTCGTGTAATTTAAAAATGAATTTCGAAAGAATTTGAAGTTTGAATTAAATCATATCGTAAATTGTAAGATTTAATTAAATCGTAATATTTGAATCAATTAAACTCATGTGTTTTCAATTCAAAAACAATATTCAAAGATTTGAAGGATTAAGCTCAACACACGTGCGGGAATAGTATATATAGTTCGATAGGCAAAACAACAAATGCAATTTTTTAGTTTATTTTATTTTTATTGACCTGTAGTTGCCTTGCCTTCCAGGTCTCGTATAGGACAATTCCAATTTATGTTTTGTTTGTTAGTTCTTAATGAGTTCTTAATTGCTCGTTGCATGAATAAATTGTAAAAGTACCCCATATAATAGGGGTGAGCAAAAAAATCGAAAAATCGAAAAATCGAACCAAAAAATCGAAAAACCGAGCTGTTTCAAATGATACCGAATAGCAAACCGTATGTACGGTTTTTTATTTTTGAAAGACCGAATTATTCGGTTCGGTATGGTCGAAAGGTAAATAACCGAACCGAAAAACCGAACCGAACCGAAACTATAAAATGATTTTTATTTTCTATCTTTCAATTACTTGTCTCATTCTAAGTATTTGTTCATAGAATGAGACATTGTATTTTACTTATTTAGTAATTAAAAATTTACTTGAGTTCATGGTTTTAATAATGTGGTAGATGAAAGTAGGAAAAAAAAAATGAAGCATAATACATCATCTAACGTTAAGTCATATGCAATTAAAGATTTTATATTTTTATTGCATTAGTAAGTTGTGAAAGTAATTGTAATTGTATTCTTTTGTTTGTAGTACTTGAATATATAGTTACTTTTGAACCGAAAAATCCCCGAAACCGAACCGAAAAAAACCGAAACCGAACCGAAACCGAAAGAAACCGAACCAATAAAAAATCGACATACACGGTTTTTAATTTTACAAAAACCGATATATTCGGTTCGTGTTCGGTTTTAGCCAAAAACCGAGCCGAACCGAGTCGTGCACAACCCTACTATGTAATTTTGAATTAGTAGAAAACCCCCTGTGAAATTTGGTCTAATGCCGCATATTCCCCCTAGGTAATCTTGAAATAGTAGAAAACTCCCTGTGAAATTAGAGATGTTAATTATGTATTATCTTACAAAAAAAACCCATCCAGAGGTAAATTAGGGACGTTAATTCGGTAAAACAGAACCGAAATTTCGGTACGCCAACATTTCATATCGTTTACAACAACTATAACCGCGAGTTGTTCATAACGATAGACCGCGGATGTATGTATATCTTTCTTTGCCATGCTAACTTCGGTTTAATATTCTATATTACATCGGGTAGGTCTTTACCATTCATATATAAACAAACACACCACCTGCAACTTCAAAATCGTAATTATTTCCTTGATGCCAAAGTTTAATTTACAGTTCAAATTGAACTCTACAAGTCTCTGTAATTACGTAATTTGATCTAACCTCAGGATATGATATATACTATAGTTTGCTCAATATTTGGTTAATTAGGGATAAAATGGTGTTTCACGAGTTATAAGTAATTTTTCAAACCAGATGAGATCTAGTTGTAACTACAGCTAACCCTAATTTCTTCTTCACTATATATATATGGGTGTTTCTACCATGAGATCATGTGTTCTAAATTTATATGAGATACCCCTTCAAATTGTGACACGTGTCCTAGCTATTTTACATATTTTTTCCTCATTTATGTATTGTCGCAAATACCCTTTGTACAATAATTATAAATTATTAATGAAATGTCAATTTCACCCTCTCTATTTTAATGCAATTTTAAATCTATATTTATTGCGGAATTAAAATTTATAAAGTCAATTATATCATTATTCATTCAAATAATTAAACCACTCATCCCAAATTGCATCAACCTCATGTCACAGTTGTGACAATCTGAAAACATATAAGAACACGGACCACTATGACCTACTACATAATTGGCAATTAACTCGCTATACGTATATGTATCTCGTAGCTGCAATGTATTATGGTTATATTACTCCATCTAAGTAATGTTTAATAAATGATTAATTGTCATATAATGTATTATTATATATTAATAATATCCCATACTAACAAATCTTCATATTATATATTTTAACATCTAAGGATATGTTGATCAACTCGTGTAATTTAACAATGAATTTCGAAAGTATCTGAAGTTTGAATTAAATCGTATATTGTAAGATTTCCTTCCCTCGTAATATTTGAATCAATTATACTCATGTGTTGTCAATTCATAAACTATATTCAAAGATTTGAAGGATTAAGCTCAACTCG